CAAGCGTGTTCTGCTGACTCTTGTGGTCCAAGGGGGAATTGAATGGCTTGATTTATTCACCTCCTTATTATTGAGGTGGTGATAGTATTTAAACAGCCTGATGCATCCAAACAGCTTCAACTGTGTGTTACAGCCTTTGTCACCAAAACACCAACACCGTATGCTGACCACATGTCCCAGGTTTCCCCATATTTATTTGCACTGGATGTTCAAAAATCACCCAGGAAGAAGGAGAGTGTTCTACATTTTGTTACACGCTCAACTCCTGTGGCCTTTGTGTTCCCAGGCTGCTAAATCACTGTGCCCAGAGGAGCTGATCTTTACCCTGGCACCCTGGGTTAAATGATAAGGATCTGAGAAACAAAGGGTCAATGCACATGTGATGACAGACAGCTCTTGCTGAGCTAAGTGAAAAGAACCTGCCTTTAGGACATGACTCTGTGCAGTATCACTCTCCTATTTTACATTTTCCCTTCATAATTTTGAATACTTAAAAAGATTCCCAGTTAACTACAAGCTCAGACATGAAAACAACTGGTTATTCCAATGGAAATGGGAAATAATTGGTTATTTAAATGGAATTCACAATACTAATTGGTGAAGACTATACATTGTTTGTAGCACCGGGAACTGACAGTGCACTGACAGTGCAACTTTGCAACTTTGATTCGTTGTTTTTTCCTCCTTAGACAATATCGAAACAGATGACCTTGGCAATCTAGGTAGGTTACCATTTTGTTGTGAACAAACTGCTATTTATTTTGAGTGTTTCTGAACATAACAAACCAAATCCAAAACAAAACCAAAGTTTTTCCCACCCAACACTTACAAAAGGCACCCAAGAAGTGATCTATCACACAAGTGGACATCAAGCAGGAGCAGGAGTCTGGTGGCAGACAGCTCCATATAAATTATATCAAAAGCGGGTTCCAAATTTTTATTATAAATAAAAATGACTATTCTCTCCAACAGCAAATACTAGAGCACAGTTTGGTTATACAATGTGCCACTCCCAGAAAAGAAAAGGAAACAATATTTTTTGGCTTTTCATTTTCATGTTTTGACCTCTGATCTGTATGTATGTACAATTTTTAAGATTGTCTGGCATAGTGTGGTACTTTAAGAAGTATGACTTAGGTTTTTTTTCTAGTTAGCAGTCTAGATTGATGACATAATTGAAGCATAAATGTATTAACTGGAGACTGCTCAATCAATAAATAAACTGAGACCCCAATTTAATAACATGAGGTAAAATCATGCCATTTAAAACCGGAAATGGTTCGTCCATCGTTTTCATGAGTGCAGGCTTTAACTATACTTTAATTCTTCTTCTAACCCTTTCCTAACATTCCTTGTTTTATAATGAGCAATTATTGAACTATGTTAAGGGATTCTTAAATTAAAGGTGATATAACTGTAAATATGGCACAGCACAATGATTATTTTCCCTTGAAAATGAATTGCATTTATGAAGCTGTTTTCATGACAGTCCTCTACTTGTTGTGCAATAAAACCCACATGATTTCCCAGCAGTCTCCAGTCCTGACATAAATCAGAATGTATTGAACAGATATGGCCCTGTCCATATTTGAGCCTCTAACTGTAGATGGCCACTCAGGAATGGCAGGGCATTATACAGTGCTCAGTGTCAGTAGAGCAGGCTGGCCTCGTGCAGAACCCAGCCTTACATGAAGTTATCTGAGGGGATCTAGCCTGCGGGGGGGCTCAGCCTGACACTGTGTGCTTAACCTTCAATCTGCAACGATCCAGGAAGACACATCATGCGATGCAGGCCCTTTCCATTTCCAAGCATGATGGGCCATTTAAAGAAATAATCTTTAACTGAGTTTAACAAAGAGGATTCTAAAAAAGTCCCGCCCAAGAAAGTGTCATTGATAAATAGACAAAGTATTGATTTCTTCCTTCTGAAACTACACTCATTTTCTAGAATATGTGATGCTGTGTTGGGAATTAATGGTGTTAATAACAGAAGTTCAGGAGGAAGATTGGGGTGTTAAATCTTGAACACTTCCACTCGAATACATGCATTATATATGTCACAAACTCCATCCTAATAGTTCCCTTATCTAGAGTCACAGTTCATACTTTATACAGTATACTTTATACCTGCTCATCTCTCTCTCGCATTCATTAGCATCTAACCCAACTACTAATTATTGATTTTATCTATATGGCCCAGAACAATGATTATTTTCCCTAGAGAATGAATTGCATTTATATAGCCAAGCAGATTTAATCATATAGTTATCGGATACAGACAATCAGATTTAATCCACCAGGTACATTTAATCATGACATCGTAATAATAGCCACATTGTCGAGCATCACTTGTTTTTGACAGGAGGGAACACCTGAGATCTTCTTGTAAAAAGAAATTGTACCTTCTCTCTCTGCAGATGATCTGATTGAGGGTTTAGCAATCGAAGAAGGTGACTCTCCTGCGCCCCATTTTCTTGTGTTTCTCTGCTACAAGGATGTTAAAATATTGGGGCAAATGTTTCAATAACAGGACAAAAACAGAGCCAATGTAGAAATCCAAGACAACTCAGTAATTCTGTGTAGGAAAGGTCTGGATATGTGTTCAAACATACACAAATTAAGTTGGGGGATATTAAGAGCTGGTTGACTGGGGATACATTTTTACAAATCAAAGATGCAAATCCATCATATTCTATTTATTTCTATCAAAGTTTCAGAAACATACACAGTGTATAACAGTATAGAGATTTTTTTCTTATTCGATTCCAAAACTATCCTACTATCCGACTGCCTGCTGTTTCTTTTCTCTGGATCTCTATGGCCCTAATGTCACTGTGAGATTTTGACTGTTCTATTCAGCCTCCTGTTCAGGTCCTGACATAGACATACATAGATGGAATTCAGCTCGTGTTCCCAATGAAAAAAATATGCCTATGCCTTAGAATAAGCTTTAATTATTGCCCATTCCCTGTCCTGAGGATACTAGGAGATAAGATTTACGAGTGGGACTTCCAAACCATGATTTAAATCAAGAGAAGGGAAGGTGTGTTACACCTAGACTGCAGAGCTGGGTGGCATCCACAAATAAAAAGAGATTTACTATCCATCAGTGCCAAAACTGTTCGATAAGTTAATAACAGGAAGACATATTGTAAGCTCCAAGCAACACAGTCAAAACTATTTACAAAGCCTATCTCTACTACAGAGTAAGTCTCCCATCGGCATTAACTGTCAGCTGAAGAATGGCAACTAAGGATTTTCAGGGAGCTCTCTAATCATGGACACTTTCAAGATTCTCAGATTCATTTGTATAAAATTGAAGCAGATAGACAGCAATTAATGCAGAGTCCTGGAGTAACTTTAAGCCTTTGATGAATATCGTAGCATGAAGAAAAGCAAACACTAAGAAGCTAAGAACAACATTAAGACCGTTTTCTGCAATTTCAGCTCAATGGCACATTGGTTAGGGATATGATTTCATTATTTGTAGTCATTATTTAGAGAATGCATTCCTCCCGCCTGTGAAATGATTTTGAAGGCACTGCATAACCTACTTAAACCCCTTTAAATCTGAGGAATCTAGTATTTTTAGAAGAAACTCTACCCTCTGTGATCTGATTGATGATTTATTTATTTTCAGAGAGCGAGGAGGACAGGAGAGGTAAGTTCCTAAGAGCCACCTATATTTCACAAGCCTAGCTGATTGTTTCCTCTGTGCACATCTGGGGGATTGTTTGCGTGGGGTTTGCAGGGGGCTGGCTGGCTGGCCGTTACCACTGTTGAAAATGACATTGGTGGCACGTTGCTGTTTCTGCGGCATCACGTTCGGCGGTACACGCTGGGGCCATATGATCCAAACGGCGTCTCGCATACTGCTCCCAGCGCTTGTTTAGCAATGATCAGCTGACAGCAGTCCACTGGCACCAAAGCTTATGAGTCACCCATTACGCTCCTTCAAAGCAAAGGAGAGTATTCAAAATATCAGCCGATAGAATAAACAACAAGCTGAGCGACCTGTTCCTGAGGCGAATTCAACAGTCTTGGAAAGCAGTATCAACACCAAATACAGATTGCAGTCAGCACAGCTGTGAAGGGACGGATCAGTAAATATTCAAGGGAATCTTGAATGTGGTGCACGATGGCAGAAGGGCCAGTAAAAGGCCTAGGTGCTTGGAGAATCTTGTAAAAACAAAAGTATCCCAAGGGAATTTAAGTAAAAGATGTTCTTTTTTTATTTAACAGGAAAAGCCCAGGAAGAAGAAGAAATGGAAAGTAAGTTGCCGTCGATCCGCTTGATTGCATAAGGGCTAAATCGCTGTTCGGTAGAGGATGCATGAGGTCAGGTGTCTCCAGTTTGGGTCCTGGAGTGTCAGTGAGATCAGTGCCTGAAAAGTCTGTCTTTCACTGCTATTCAAGACAAAAGATGGGATCAGTTAATGGGATAAAAGATCTAGTGCATCTCACAGAATTAGGGGATTTACATATTTATGACCCAGTGTTTTTTTATTTAGGCTTTTGATTTAATATATTTATTATTAATAAGGCAAATGGATGCTTCTGCCATTGAGAGGTACAGCAGATTAGCTCATGACTGAGAACTACAAAAGAGAGATTAATGCACCAGTGTGGGCCATACTGCCTGTGGATTTTCATTCCACTTCTGCGTTTACTGATCTACCTGAGCTCATCGCTAGCCTCACTCTATTCATGGTGTAGTAATCACAGGATAACTGCTGCAGCCTTTAATACGACACAGCAGCTTTCTGATCAAGGATGGACATAACTGTTCTGCTCTCTTTTGGCTGACCTTAGTCAGGCTTTTTGAAACACTGAAGAACCAGGTGGTTAAACTAGGCAGGCCATTCTTGCTTCATGCAATCTCGCTGTACCTCAGCATGCACAGCTTTGAATAACTAGATTTACACTTGCAGTAACGAGTCTCTCGCTTTCTCTTTCTTCCTCAGCTGATCTTGAATGAGAACAGAGACATCTTCCACCGGAGGAAAACGATGCTCACATGCATGCTTTTTTTGGGGGGGATCAAAGGAACAATTTCTTGTTAAAAATAAAAGAATAAAGGGATATCAGTGGGAGATTAATGCCTGTCTTTGTGATCTTGTTCTTACCAAAAAAAAAAAAAAAAAAAAGGTAAAACTTTAGGTTATAGTATATTGGCCCATCTAGTTTGCTTTGTTGCCAGGAGCCAATTGACCCAAGATCATGGACATCTTGAACACCATACACTACAGTAGGAATAAAAAAAGGCCTTGATTAAGGTCTATGTATTTTATTTTCAACTCCCACCTCCCTTAAAACTGCAATTGCATTTACTTTATTTTGACACGATGATTAAAAGTATGCAACAGCACCTGTATTTTCAAAAACACAATAAAATATACTCTTATAGTATGAACGAAAATCTAAGGCTCAATAATTTGCCAGCAGACATCTTGCACTACACATGGCACAGATAACCAAGGCCACTGGAGATTAAGTTACTGAATTAAAAAAAAGAGGGCATCAATGTGATAAAAACACTGAACTTGTAAGTCCTAAACCAGTCTTCGGCACTGGTAAGAGAAAGGGTTAGTTGTAATTTAATAGAATTCTATTACTTGTTGGGATGAAAGTTTACATCCTAATTAAGAACATTTGGTGAAAGAGGAGGTGTAGGGGGTGGTATGGAGGTACAGTGGTGAGCACTAGTGCCCTGGATTCTATTCCAGACCCAGGGTGCAATCTCTGGCGTTATGTTCGGGTTGGGTTCCTCTGGGTGCTCCGGTTTCCTCCCACAGTCCACAAACATACTAGTAGGTTGAAGGGCTTCTGGTTAACTTGCCCCGGTGTGTGCCTGTTTGCCCTGCAATGGACTGGTAGCCTGTCCAGGCTGCACCCATTACATGCCAGGATGGGCTCCAGCTCCCCAGCGACCCCGAACTGAAGCAAGCAGCTAGAAAATGGATGGATATTCTTCAGAGACAGGCAATACAAAAGTAGAGTTTAAAAAAAAAATCTTTATTTTTTCCTTATGTCCAGTCACATCGGAAGACTTAAAGAAAGTGTATACAGATTGGCAGCACTTGTTTCTCTTTGGTACCTGCATGCAAAACAACCATCGTTCTGAAAAAGACCCCCCCCCAGGTGTGGTCTATAGACTACGGCAAGAAGAAACGAGAGCTGTTTCATCAGTCTGCTGGACCCATTTGTGCGCTTTGTAGATGTTTGGTTTCAAGGACAACGTCTTAAGCATCAGCTAGTCTTATTTTGCTCCTTTTGAATATAAAACTTCAAATTAAAAAGATGAGATTTTGAGGTCACCCTAAGGCCATCGAATTGAAAGACTGCAAACTTTACAAACTCACTAGAAGCAGGTGCTTACAACAGTAATAGCCTTTTGATATATTGCACGGCTGCAGACAAAAGGTCCTTAAGGAAAAAAAACCCAAAGCACCAGCTACACATTTGATAATGTCACTAAATAATGAAGTTTAAAAAATCCCCTTTGGAAAAAAAAAACCTTTTCAAAAGTTTCTTCTATTTCCAAGATCACACTTCACCACTCTATAATGTGATCTTTTTTTCTTGCCGATTAAACAAACACTAACAGGACTTGGCTATAAAGCAGTCCAAAACGGTGTGGGAATGGTAGCATGCACAAGACCCAGCTATCTCAGCAGCTGCACTTGACTGCTTCAGTGGCACCTAACTCAAACATCAGACCCAAAACCACATCAACTCTAAACCAAAGATCCCCAGAACATGTGCGCATCCATAGTCAATGAGTTTTCTAACACCCAAAACTAAGTCCCTTCTCTGCTTGTGAGATTTAAAGCTTTGGAATGGCAACTAGAACCAGCTGTCGTAGACAACTACTATGATCACCAGACCTTGTGCACACCCATCCACACCTGTACGCTTCTGAACACTGTTCTTTGTTTTAAGGCAGATGTATGTAGATCAGGTACCTGCTGCAGTCCTGTGCCATCCTCATGAATAAAATGGCAGCGACGCCCACTGAGGATGGCATTAGTAGCTTCACTGCTATGTACTCACTTAGGGAAATCAAAGAAAAACAACCTAATACTGTGTGTAATTCTGACACTTAACTCGTATGTGTATAAAAAAAAAGTTACTGTATATACATAATTACAAAATACAAAGTAGAGCTATTTTTTTTTTTGTCTGATTGGCAAAAATGTACAGCATCTCGAGTGGGTTATTCATACACCTAAGGAGTTAAAGCACATTAATACAGAGCAACTAATTTCTCAGTGACTGAAGCCGCATTAATCGCCTATGAAAAACCTCAGTCCCGTGCCAACCCTGCCATTAGAAAGCATGACTGATTAAAATTCTGATCTCCACCTCCCCAGTGCCACAGCGCGAGCGCCCTGGCAGTGCTCAGGAGCGGAAGATGACGAACTTGAAGATGGCCATGATGGCGGCGCTGATGAGACCGGAGATGGGCACGGTGACGAACCAGGCCATGAAGATGTTGCGGAAGAGACGCCAGTCTACGGCCTTCTTGGAGCGCAGCCAGCCAACAGAAACAACAGAGCCCACCTGTGGGGAGAACAGCGTATCCATCATTACCTCCAGGGCTCTCAGAAAGTCATCACACCCTGTCGGAGGGCCACCTCCGATCTTTAATTCAGTTTATGACTTTTATCCACATACATCAACTGTTTAAGGATGAAACCTGGTTCCTCATTGAATAGGACCTGGAAAACACCTGGGGCTCTGGAACACCACAATATGCTTGACCATTCCATAATACTGCCCCAGTCTACAGCAAGCCAATTAACTCAAATGCACACCACGTACCTTGCAGTGTGTTGTGCTGATTGGCAGACCGACGTTTGAGGCAATCACCACAGTCAAAGCCGACGCCAACTCGATGCTGAAACCACTGTGAAACGGAAGAGAACATTACAAATCTAAGCCACCACAAACAGGACCCTCATGTCGGCTGACGGGGAGCCGATCCAATTCTCTTCTTTAAACTGAATCGAGGACCCCGGGCACAGTGCACACTCTCACCTAGAAGGAGTGATGGGGGTGAGGTCCTTGCCCATCGTCTGGATGACTCTCCTGCCCCAGACCCACAGGCCAGCACAGATCCCGACGCCACCAAACAGCAGCAGCCAGATGGGAGTTGGGGTGTTGGACGCCACCTGGCCACTCTCATACACCAGCCACAAAGCAACCAGGGGCCCGATGGCATTGCTGTGGGGGGGAAACAACAACAACAACTAGCTCAGTTCTTTTAGTTCTTCCACCATTTAGCCACACAACAACTTATAAAAAGCTGGAATGAGGGGATAAAGCACTGAACTGGACAGCAAGGAACAATCTGATTTTATACCCCTTTCAAGCTCTTGCACCTCAGACCCACTGAAACACCTCCACGAACATGCCCCAGTGCCCCTGCCCCCCCCCCCATCCGGAGCCCGAGGAGCTGGCCTACCTGACGTCATTGCCTCCGTGAGCAAAGGAGCCGAAGCAAGCGGTGAGGATCTGCAGGAACTGGAAAAGCAGGGAGACCGCAGGCTTGTCCTTGTCCAGGCAGTCCTCCAGGGAGCCATCACTGCTCTTCCGGTCGCCCATGCCCATCTCCAGCTTCACCTCGCTCTCCTCCAGGCCCTCTGGCACGTTGGCTTCGGCCACGGCGTTGCAGTAGCTGGTGTAGCTGTCCATGCGCACCCTCTTCTTGCTGTGCTCGGCGCTGTGGGTTGCCGCCTTGTCCTTGTCTCCCTCCTCGGCCGAGGCCCCGCTCTTCCCCTCGCCGTCCCGCGGCTTGAAGAGGTCCATGTGCATCCCGCAGATGGCCATGGTGTAGGAGGTGTAGCTGTTGTTGCGCCTCATGGGCCGGTCCCCGGACTCGCCCATGCAGTCGCCCACCTTGGCCAGGTGCAGCTTGTGCAGGAGGTCCTTGTAGAGGCCGGAGTCCTTGTGCACAGTGTGGTACTGGCTGTAGCCGTTGCTGGGGATGTGGCTGGTGACGTTGCTGAACTGCACATGCCCGCCGTTCTGAACCACTAAAAGCACAAGAGAATCGCAAGGGTGTTACTTAGGAGGCTCACAGCCTTGACCAACTGTGGTTAAATTGCAAAAAAAAAAAAGCTTCCAGGATCAGCCCATCTTTGTATTATGGGTATAGCAACTCTCCCCTGAAATGCAGGGGAAAAAAAAGCCTTTGCATCTCACCATTGAGATCAGCGGTGGTGTCCCTGCCCTCCTTCTCATCGCAGTCCTCCGAATCCCCGATGTTGAAGGAGATGGTGCGCTCCTCTGCTGGGGGCCGGGTGTTTAGCAGCAAGGATGTGTGGTCCGGTGTGGGGCTCTTGGTCTCAGACAGAATCCTGCCGGGCTCTTCGGGGACAGCTTGGAGAATAGAATGCATGTCACTGTTCTTCTTCTCCATCAGAGGGCTCTCAGAAGGGCTGGATTTGATGTCTCCTGCAATCAGGCACACAGGAAATGCTTTCTAGAATGTTGCATAGTAAAATGTAGCAAATCATTGAGGAGACTTAATCTTTAATCCCACCAAATATCTCTTAAATGATAATCTTATTAAAGGCTTAACACTTTAGCGTTTCATGCCAAAAAATGTTGAGAATAACAGCAGCTTCCATTTTGACATCTCAAAAACCTCTTGGGCTTTACTTCAATGTTTTTACCTGGCAGATGGGTACATAGGATGGGATTGCTGGGACTGCTCTCCCACCTAAACAAAAGCTCATAGCCCCTTCCCTGAAAACCTGCCAGTTGAATCCATCTCTCCTATTCTGACAACGGAGAGTCACCTTGACTTTAAAATTCCCCGGCTTGCTGTAAACTATGACCACACAAACCACCCAGATTTAGACAGGATTTTTACTTTGGTAAAAGTCTCCTTTTAAAAGTGAGGACATATCCCCTGTGCTGACTCATCAACACTAACTGGGGAAAGAGCGTTAACTCCAACACGTCACCCATCTACAAGTCTTTTACAATGCCTTTTATTCTTTCTGTAGCAAGATATTCTGGCTGCTTTCCCCCAAATCCACTATCTTGATTTGCTTCCTTTCTGCATCCCTAACCAAGAATAAGAATTGCTTTCAAAACATATGCATACTTAATACACACCAAATGCCAACACTGAGAATAATTTACTCAGCTCAAGCACAATACTAGCGGGACAGCTTAAGAAAAATCATGAAGACTGCCTACAGTCAATATGCTCTTGACATACTATATGAAAAGAACAATCTTTGGTAATTATATTATAATGATATGAACAGTTTAGACAAAATACCTTTTGGGTGCAATTTACCTTCACATTGTTTGTTTAGACCACTTTCAGGGTCTTAAACTGAAATCACATCTGTCATTCCCACGTTTACAATGCAGACAGAAAAGCAACTCAACAAGAATCAGGCTATGGCCTGGGTCCAGCAATGCCATTTTAGCAATTAAAACTTATGAAGGCTGAGTTCTTCTCTTTCCAGAAAGGCAATGCAGCAAACTGCTACAGAAACTGTGCCAAGGAGAGAGGAACAAGCCAAGGTGAAGCCCCCACCGGGCCCTATGACAGCTGCTAATGACTTCAGTGCAGTTTGAGAGCAGCAGTACCCATATCTTTCGTCTCTGACGACAAAACAGACTAAAGCATGGGAGGCAATAGAGAGTAACTGCAGATAACCAGCTCCTTTCAAGAGCATGCTATGGGCAGCTTCAAGGGTGAAAGACAAGGCACTTGTGCATAGTCCCGCACTGACAGCTCTGGGCTACCCAGGAGGCCCTACCATAAACTTTATTACTAGCAGATAGCCTGTTGTTACAAGATTAAGTCTCCATCTGCACCAAGACAATTTTAAAAAATAAAATAAAATAAAATAATGGACTTTTCTGGAAGTCACCAGTCCTTCATTATGAACCATAATCCAAGATATCCATTCATGTAAAGACAATGCTTGCTCCCTATGGAATAAGATAAGCCTATCAGGGGATAACTAAGCAAAAACATGATCCAGACTGACTGTGCCCACCTAAGAGCACAGCAAGCCAAGATGGCACAGACAGCAGGACCTGATGTCATGTAACGAACTGGCAAGGACACTCACGCTCAATCTTCTTCTTTAGCCGGGGGCAGACCACAAACCACACAACGATGGCGGTGATGACCCCGCAGCCCAGCGTGATCAAGAGGATACTCCATGTAGGAAGCTTGTCGAACCCGAGCACTGCAGGGAGAACAGAGGAAAGAGAAGGGGATTTGAGACACAAGGGCAGCAGCTGCTGCCACCCCAGAAACAAAACCGGCACAGAGGTGCCTCTACAGGTTATTCCCTTTCCCAGGGCACCTACCACTGCGCAGCTCAGAAAGAAAGACACTGAGTCCCAAAACACAGTTACCCCACTGCAAGTCATGCATGACTGAAATCTAGTCTTTGAGCAGTGATCACATTTCAGGCATCTTTCTGAACAGCAGACAGTGGTGCCTATCCTTGGAAGGGCTGCTGTGCGCTGCTCCCTGCAGGAGAATGTGTGAAACAAACATCCTGATCTCCATGTAGCCACATGAGGAGGAGACAAATGGGTTGAACAGAACAGAAAACTGCACGGCTAAATTTCACTCCAATCTTCCTTTGGGCTCAGACACCCTGGGGTCTAGAGTACTGAAATACCCCACATTATCAAGAGCTTAAATTTACAAGGCTCTGATCACTATGCTCCCCTCCCCATCTAGTTTCTTGATATTAATACCCTCCCCCACCAACCCTCAAGGTGCCATCAAAAGATAACCCTGTACACATTACACATTTTCAGTGAAACTCTCAGGGAGGAAAAGAAAGTACACGTTACAGGAACTGATAAGAGGGTCATTAAGGAAAGACTCGGCATCACTGGAGAGCAGTTCTGTCTCCGACTCGGTACTGTACGAACAGACCTCGTGTTTAGTTAGTTTTAGGTAGTCCAGGAGTTGCTTCCAGCACCTTCTCTACCTATTTCTAAGCATTGTTGTGCCAATGACACATGGCCCTCTTGATAGGAGTAATTTCTTGGTTGCATCACAAAAGTTTTATACCTAAAATTCAAAGAGCAGTACTGAACACCCCAAGTACAGATGATTAAGGGTTTCAGGATAGGAAGGGAGGCAGACAGGGCACCAGATATGATTCCTTAGCATAAGTGAGAAATACAGCATGTACCCAGATTTCAAAACCATGCCTACCGACCAAAGTGTGTCCTCGCTATTTCCAAATTCAGCAAGAACCTATTACGTAACACGTCTTATGACAAGGATTACCAGAATTGTTTTTAAACTCCGGTACAGTACAGTCACATTTGCATCCTGATAGTAAAATGAAGTGCCACAGCCCTCAGCTGCAACACATGATAATGACCTGCACTCAAAGTCAAATGAAGATTATTTTTTTTTTTAAACTGCGTGGGCTTTGCACAAGCAAATTCAAGAAGCAATGTAACCAGAGAAGCCAGGGTTTACAGAATTTCACTTTCCAACCTCTGCTTCTTCATTTATTTTTTTTTTGAAAGCACCATGCAACACTAAAAAATTAAGTGGCCAGTTACAGCCCTTACACTAGATATCTTTCCCCTCAATTACAGGAAAATGCAAACATATTTTATAGGTTTAATACTTAAGAATATTAAGGGTGCCCTACACTGGTAAGTCATTTACTTATGATAGTTATTTGCATATCAGCAAATGTTATACAGTATATTTACAACACATGAAATACAAAATAGTAGATCATAAAAGGCACAGGAACAATTTTCTTTGACTGTGTGGAGTGTAATTGATAAACACAAGTAAAACATTAAGAGCACATTTCTTGGGCTAAAAAACAAAGGTTCACTGTACTGTACAAAGCCACTGTCCTCCTGTATGCACTACACACAAGACGACAAATTAAGGGTGATGTTACAACACTTTGGTAGAGGAAGATTTCAAAATTACGAACCAAAGGTTTTTCTAACAGATCTGAGAACAAGCTGTATGAGAAAATTAAGGCCAAAATGTTGTCCATTCTACACTAAGCAAAATGAAGGTTCTCTAAAACAGACTGAAAAGAAAATATGGAAACAGCACACTTCATGTTAAAAAAAATGTTTTGCAATAACTTAAAAAAAGTCCATACTTAAATGCTTACCCGTTTCAAAATTTCCAACTCGAGTATTAACTAAATTTGGAACTTGAACAAATAAAGCCAGTGAAATTTAAATTTGATAATTTCTTCTATAAACTAGGCAAGGTGGAAATGAGAATCTAAAATACTCAAGCTCATGGCTTCTATGCAGCTGAAGCCAAGACTGGAAAAGGTTTTATACTCCCATTCTCAAGTTACAAAGTTGCCAAAGTTCAAGATTAAATTACTACCAGATAATTTCATCATTCTGGGCTTACAGTAAAAAGATTTTGATATCCTGAACCAAACTGTTCTACAAAAAGGAAGGGGAAAGATGACAATGAAAAAAAGACCTCATTTCTTAAGGGATACAGGCAGTGGAAATGCTACTTAAAAATAATCAACTGCACTAATACTTCAGTAAAATTCTATTGCGTCGCTATCTGGACTTTGGCAGGTCACTTTAGGATGATATGGTTTTCAAATACAAAAAAAAGTTGGGAAAAAAAAAACTTAACAGAAGGGAAAAAAAAATGGTGTGGATGTAGTATCTTCTTGGAGTTAGCAATCTTCCGCTGTTTAGAGCACTACGCTGCAGAATTCAAGCCAGTTGCCGAGACTGACATGTGATTGCTTTGGAACGTGTGCAATAGCTGGGTCTACGGAAAGCTCAGAGGCATCGCCGGTCCTCGTCAGATCCGGACTCTACACATGCACTACCCACTTCTCTAGCACCTGATTCCTTACTGGTTGGCCTTCCTTATTTGTCGAAGCATTTTGTAAACCTAGCCTTTTCCATCTCTAATCCAATGCTTTTCCTCGTTGGTGCAGAGTCATCTTCCAATACATCCAGCCTTTTAGGACAAGCCAATTCATTCTTCTAATTGGTTTCTATGGCATAAGGAAATAATGTATGTCATCTACAGACTGGTGTGCTCATTCTAATGTATGTATATTTGACTTCAAACCTGAATTATATCTATAGAGCAACCTCATACTGCATGAAGGCTTCCTACAGGATCGAGGAAACAGATGCTGGGTTGAAGCTGGATTAACATTATCTTCGCTTTAAGCAAGGCTGTTAACAGCTAGCTAAGTGCATGTCTCTTGTGTGTGTGCATGTATATATATATATCTCTCTCAGCGTACACCGGCCTGCAGCCTTCTGTAATCGGCCCAGGCCAGTTGACTTCTTGAAAAGTTCGGTCCTGTAAGTAAAGAAAAAGGAGTAAAATCGAACGTTTAATATGGTTTCCCACTCTAAACCAACTGAAAAGACAGATCAAAAGGTTTTTTTTTTAGATGCATATTAAAATCATTCACAGCACATCTGGCAAAAAAAACATATTTCAACGATAACTGTGTAGAGCATTTAAACATTTACAGAAACAACGTTCGTGCTTTCATCAACAGGCAAATTAGTCAATGCATCTTTTTTTCACCTGCTTCTCAAACGGTACTCATGCAGACTTCACTCAAAAATAAGATTTAATCCCTTGCCCCAGTTGTAGGCGATCCGCATTGCTTCCATGTAAACCTGTCTATAATGAAATAAGATACACAGATGGGGGCAGGGGGACCCTGAGCACCTATATGGGCCTCAAACATGTCCTTGAACAATTGCAAATGCTCACACAAAAATACAGAGTTACAATTTTAACACAAAAGGTATGCAAGGTATCAGCGACACTTACGTGGGGCTCCTGTGAACATGATGGAGAAGAGGTTGATCCCAATAGTGCAAGCGTAGAAAACGGGGAGGGCTCTCAGCCCATTGGGCACAGGGTCCTCCTGAAAAATGCAAAAGATGCATGAGAAAGCGGAAGACTCTTACAGCCCTATCCTAACCTGTGGCAGATGAGCCAAATTCTTCCAATGTCCTGTAAAACCCTACCTTTTATTTACTATGGAGCTGTAATCTCCATTTCAGCCAACAAATTAGCTAATACAAGTTAATCTTGGGGTTTCAAACAGCCGATAGTTATAGTTACATTAGAAATATGGCATTAGTGTTATCCATGCATATACTGCAATTAAACGTCAATTCATACAGATGGCTGAAAGGAGTTCTGATTAAAATAGGACTTGCCGTCACTTAAATTTAGTGAGGTTCTAGGAACAAAACTAAATCTCAAGACTCTAAAAGAAAAATTAAGGAATTAATATTGGTCTCTACATTTCAGCTATGATACAACAACTCCATTCCCAAGGTAATCTTAAAAAAATTCAGAATTCTGGCACTGGAAACATTTCCTGAAAGCTTGCAGTGGCTTGCCATTAGAGCTTGGCAAACTATTTCACAGTGAAAGATGCATGGAAGAAAAAAAAAAGTAGCTTGCAACTCTGGGACAAGCAAACGTTTCAAGCGAAATTAACTGTTCCAAGGATCCTTTCACCGAAATCTATTAGAACTTAATTGCCACTAAGCAAGGTAACACATCAAGAGAACGGAAATTACATGTCTACAGGTGTACGAAAAATGAGTCTTTCTCCTGGAAAGCTTTCAAAATCATCTGGTAATCTAGCATCGCTTTCAGGTTAATACAGAAGAGGTAACAGGATTGCCATTTCACTGTTGTGCTGTAATAAGTCCTTGTATTTGTAATTTTTCTAAACCAGTAAAATCTAAGCAACAGATGGAGCCATTAGATGTTGAGTATTTTCGGCAGTTTCTGTCCTTTACACAAGAAGGAATAAACACGCCCTTGGAACTTGGTAAGAAGGGACATGCTTGCATGTTATCAAGTTATTTTGGGAATTAGGTTACTACGAACAAGAACAGGTCACAAGAGTATGAGAAATAGAAAATAGGTCTGATGAAAAATCACAGGCTCACAAAACAGAGCACTGCCGGCATTTGTAAAAACACACTAGAATTTTCAGAAGTCACCTAAGGCAGAGTTAACATTCCTTTGCAGAACAACAGCCTCTTTTCCTACTTCCATCTACAGTTCATGACAAGAACAGGACCTCCCTCTTGACTAGTACACAACAGTGTTGTACCACAGGCACACAAACTCGGTACACCACAGGTCTAACTTTACAAAACAAAGGCTCTTGCGCAGAAAGTACATTACAAAAAATGTACACCTTTAAGTCATAGTCGAACTGTTAATATGAAAGCTCTCTGCATTCACAGCTGCCACCAGACTCTTGAGCCAGAATAGGTGCTGAATGCGATACTTTGTCAGGGCTGTTTAAGAGTACATATCTGTCTCACAGGAAAATTGCCAGTGATGCGTACTGGCTCGAGACATCAGATAAAGACTTGTCCCCACCCATTCAGAAGATTTATAAATCTTGTACACATTACAAGCGTTTGCTGAGTCATAGAAGAAACCCCAACAACAGCACCCAAATGAATGTTTTTTTTCCCCCTCACCTTACGCAGGATGAACAAACGGACGAGGAAGAAGAGAACAGCAGACATGATGCCAGACAGGAGAGGGGAGATGAACCAGGAAAGTACTAGAAAAAAAAAAACCCAGGATGTTACAGCATCAGATAACACCACAGGTTTGCTTCCAAGTGTGGGCAGTAAGAAACTTAAGATCTGTGACTCCATGTATATGTACGTAGCTTTGATCTTTAGAACAGCTTTTATTTAATTGGTCTGCTCCTTTGTTTTCATACTGTATTTCAGACTCTTATTGTAATTAGGATATTTTGCCATCTCCTCTCAGTGCGCTTTTTTGGGGGGTTATTGCTGTAAAGCACTTTGAGAAGCCACTTTTAAATGTGCTAGAGTGTTTTATAGATCATTGATCTGGTGCCTTTCACATCTATGAAGCCATCCCCTTGCCTGCGTATTTTTTCATCACTTGAATGATTTATTTTGTCATCTATGGGTGTCAAAACTTCTTACACAACAAACAAACTCCTGAGGAACCTTTAGTTATTGTCAGCCTAGCCTAGGGGGGAGAATCCTGAAAGAGAAAGCCTACTCACCGATTTTAAGCAACTCGAACCATTTGACCCCTTCCTGTCCCTTGGCTACCAAGGAAAAGCCTATAGTTGCTCCCACAATGCAGTGCGTCCCAGAGATCGGAAGCTTCAAAAATGAAGCGAATAACTGCCACACGGCAGAACCTGCAAGAAAGCAAGAACATTTCTTTTAAGATTCCTTAGCTTCAGAATCACAAAAGGTGCATACTGGAAACCTAGATGGCTCACTGGGATCCACCATCACCTAACCAGCACAGAAACAGAATGCATCGCTTTGAACATGTACTGCCTCTCTTGCTGTCCGTCCCTTCAGAAAATGATTTTATTTTTTCCTGCGGAAACATGTCCTACAGCAAACGTAACATAAGCGCGCGCTCAACAGCTGGTTGAGTAAGGTGTGGGTCAATCTCCATCTCAAAACAGAAACAGGCCGGGCTGAAGGAAAAGGGAAGGGGAGAAAGGCCTTTAAAGTCACCCCTGCCTTGCGCTGCAAACGACACGAGTTAAAACTGTCCACCACAACAAGCGCTCTCCGCGTCGTACTCACCAAACATGGCGCTGACAGACCCAGCCATCAGGTAGTGCTCCGAGCCGTTGTACATCTGAACGTCGATGATGCCCTTCCGTATGGTCTCGCTCACTTTAGCGCCCAGCAGCACCGAACCCACCGTCTCAAACACGGTGGCCAGGATGCAGGCCTGCCTCAGGGTGACGACCCCCGAGCCCACCGCCGTGCCAAATGAGTTTGCCACGTCGTTGGCACCGACGGAGAACGCGAGGATAAAGGCGATGATGAAGCCCAAGATCAGCAGCCAGAGGTACGCTGTCAGAGGGCCTTCAACCAAAGGGGCCAGGGTCGTGGCCACAAGAGTTGTCAAAGAAGTGGATTCCATTTGTCTGGTGGTGTGGTTTTCACAATCTTACTGGGGTTTTGTTTTTCCTTTGAATTTCAAAGACTTACAAAATATATAATTTACAAAATATAACTTACAAAACAAAATGAGGTACTAATGCTTCGATTGCAATAAATAGTGTTTTCTACTGTAAGAGAAAATTAAATATGTAAACTTAGAGAACACGATATGGATTCAATATGAACAGCAATATTAAGTGGAAGGGGTGGAGAGGACGTTGGGGTTTATTGCTATCCACTGCGTATACAAGTCTTTTCCAAGAGGTTTCTAAGGCTCTGGACTTTTAAAGGGCCTGAGCAGACATCCATTGTGTAACAAACACTGGAGAAGGGAGATTCCTCATCCTGAAAGCAAAGGGGGAAAAAAAAAAAAAAGATTTACATGTAATGGGTCATCTGCACAAGGAGATGAAGAGTTCTTCAAATGACAGGTGCCTGAAAAAATACTGCCTTTTAAATTCGCACAAGAAAATGAAACTCACTTCTTCATTGCAGAGTGTCAACAAACACATACAGGGAGCCCTGCGACAGTCTGCAATCCATTTAACCGTGGAACAGAAAAAGCGTGATGCAACTTTCGAGAGGGACCTTTGCACAATACAAAACGCCCTGGCCAACCAGCTCCTCTGAAAGGCTGTGGTGGTCTATTTCAGCGTTTGCTTTTGGTAACTATGCTACAGAAAGCATTAGCAAGTTGTACCTCACCATGCAAAAAGAGACGGGTATAAAGAATCTCAGTGACTTCTGTTAGGACTGTCTCGGTTTTGAAAATCTGAGACTTGCATAGCATGTAAAAATAGCATCAGAAGCTCCAGACCCATTCTCAATGCAGCAGACGTTTCGTGCTATGTAGTCGACGTTGGATCTGAAACCCCAGAAGCCTCATAATCTTGCTCGCAAAATTCTAAAGGCCGATTTTCCCCAAACTTTGCGATATAAACCAACCGTTTTCTCGAGAGCTCACGCTTCAAGAGCAAATATTGCCCAGCCACACAGGAGGACAAACTAAAACCCATGCACACTATTAAGCATGGTCATTAAATTTAAATACGATGCAATGAGCGTCAATAGTAAGCCTGCTTCAGAGAGCGAGAGAGCTAAAAACTTCTCCTCGATAATTAACAGCGCGCCATGTGCGTGCCGGGCCTCCAGAAAGTTCCCGAAACTGTGGGAAGCCTGACCTATATGGACCATACAGGCGCAGCAACAGAAGCTGGACTTCTTTTTAAAATAGGAACAATGCATTATAGAATTGTTCACGGGTTAAAGTCGATTCGCCCACCCCACCCCCATAAAACACCTTAACGAAAGTATATTTTTCAACTTCCATCCCGTATTTTGAACCGGATTGGTCTAGTTCAAAAATTAAAAAAAAACTGTCAACACAAAACCTGTCGTTCCCGCCTGTTGTAACGTCTATTTAATTCTCTATCTGTGACGGAAGTTCAAAAAGAAGTGATAAACAGGAAAGGTTTTTTTTTTCCTCTCCCGCCCACTGTGACCTAGGCGCCACAAGAGAAGTGACTTTTTTAAAATCCCGCTCCACAAAACTCGAGGCGATTCCTCAATTGCCAGAACTAAAAAAAAATGTTAGTAGGCTCTGTCGTGACGCTGGAGTGTCAAAGCAAGACCCTAATGCGCTGAATACACTCACAGATAAACTGAACACCAGCGTGTTTGTGCCAAGGTCTGCACCCACAAGCAACGTGTGGCCGCACATTCTTAAATCTTGGCTTAAAAAAAAAAAAGTGGAAACATCTTGCTCCCAGCCTGACATTACTAAGCCACCGTTTCCAAGTGGCCCGAGTCCAGCCCTGCCGCCCCCCTCCAGACTTCGCAGACTACCGCAGTGACCTTACAGGACACGGCGGCCCGGGCGCTTCCTTCCAGCAGGGCTGATGAAATGTCCAGACAGTCCCAGAATAAAAGCCGCCACCACCACCACCA